GATCTCAGTGTGATAATTGGAGTTATCTCTAGATACCATTTCTCATTGTTTTATTTCATCTTACATATCAGCTATATCTTTAGTGCCTTCCTCCAGTTGAGTAAAACTACTTTGCCCTGAATTTGTGGTTCTGAATCCAGGAAAATGATATCTGAGGCTGTGAAGGCCCTTTCCATCTTGAGGTTACTAATTGCGCTTCAGGAAAGATGGGAAATTATAGTCATCCAGTAAATGCAGCAACCCTTGAAAGAAATGTGAAAGGCTGTCATGTAGAAGAGAAAATAGATGCATTCTGGGCAGCTCCAGGGCAGGATGGGATGCAGGAGGTGGACACTGGAGGGAGACACACTCTGATGCTCCATCAGGAAAACTTCTACACCTGACGGGACCTGGAGGTGGTGGGGCCCGTATCACCAGGTCAGCCCAGGCTAAGGCCACCCCTCTGAACTCTGCCGATTAAATGATCCACTGGCACTAATGTCCTATCTGCCTAGGTGTACTTTCTTCTCTAAAATTCCATCATTGTAAAATGTTCTAAAACTAGATAGTGGTGATGGTTGCCCAATACTGTGAGTGTACTAAACGCCACTCAGTTGTATACTGCTTTAAAGCATACATTTTAAGGTTAAAATGGTGATGTTCTGAATATTTTATCATAATAAAAAAAATGATATCATTGGACACAGTGATCTCCAAGGCTGCTGCTAGCTGTAACATTTTATGCTCCTGAGAGGGAGCACGTTTCATAGGGGACAGATCACTCAACTCTATTTAGTCAAATGACAGGTTATATAGACATTAAATGTCTAACTGAGGGGGAATGGTTAATTATATTATGGTTCAGGCATAACCCAGGATATTATATGTCTATGAGAAATTAGCTCATGAAACATATTTAATGCCATGGGAAAATGCTTGTGATATAATGTAAAGTGTGAAAAGAAGGATTTAAACTACATATAATATGATCCTAATTTTATAAATATAGATAAGAAACCCACTGTTAATAGTGCTTATCTCTGAGTTGTGGGATTACAAATGATTCTGATTCCTTTAAACATTTCTCAAAATTTCTACAAAGAGCATGAATTACTATTATAACTCAAGCCACTTAAAACAAAAAATAATGGTACTTAGGATTTTGTTGCCTCCGATGTAAATCAAGATGTACTTTAGAATAACGGTGGTAAAATGGAAAGAACACTGGACTGGAAGAACTGAGTTAAAATTCCAGGTCAGCCAGAGCAGAGAGACACCTCACCTCACCGAGCCTCAGTGCCTTCGTCTGGAACAGGGGTACACTAACGATAGTCTGCTTCACAGAATTGTTTTGAAGAGCAAATGAGATAATGAATGTAGGATGGTTCTGTTGATTGAAGGGTTCTTTGAGCTATTTTCATTGTCACTGAGTATACTCAAATTGTACGTTTCCAAATCTTCACTTTAACAGAAACTGAACAAGTGCTTATAAAGTCAGTGATTGCCATTTATCCAGTAATTTAAGAGCTAATTTCCGGTAACAGTATGACTTTTCTCATCTTCCTTCCTATAACCTTAATGGAAAACATTTTATTTCATCTGAAAAGTAACACCTGACTTTTATTTACTGTCTTAAGTTTGAGAAGCTGATGGCAAAATCATTTTAACTGAAGGACAACTGTACCCCTCTGGGAACATTGCTTCTCCTGAGAATCTGAGCTCTCCCCTTTGGAGGAGGAAGCATTTGTTTTCCGAGAACCATCCACACCATTGAACTTTAAAAGAGGTTTTCCTTTGTGCCACTCTGGTTCTGTCCTCTGCTTGTCCTTGCTTTGAGACCAGCGTCAAGACTCACTTGCAAGTGTAAACCGAATTTGTAGAATTTTTGAGTCATACAAGGATTTCTATTTCCTAGAGGCTGGCTCCTTGGACTGGTCTGAAGAGAGGACCATTTTGGCAGGGCTGTCAAGCATGCTGTTTCTCTTTTGAACCTCATCCACATGTTTAAAAGCTTCTGGGATACAGGAGTAGTGAAAATGGTAAACGCAATCAGCTGCTAACTGAAAGGTTGCAGGCTCAAGTCCATCCACAGGTGCCTCAGAAGAAAAGCCTGGTGATCTACCTCTGAAAAAAATGAAAATTCTGTGGAGCACAGTTCTACCGTGACACACATGAGATCACCATGAGTCGAAATTGACTCCGTAGCAACTGGTTCTTATGGGGTACAAAGCATCATAACCTTGCGATTTTATTTGAGGCTTAACTTGCTCTTGTAATGGAACTTTCCCAATTCAACAAATTCAGTTAAACATTTCCGAGCACCTAATATGTGCCAGGTCTTATAGAAACAGAGTTGAATACAATGTGGTTCTTGCCTTCAAGGTGCTCACAAAATAATGAGAGAGACTGGCATATAAATAAATGCTCTGTAGGCATGACAGGACCCAAAGAAGCAAGTCCAAGGAACAGGAGTGGGGCATGGAAAAGAGTCATTAGCCTTGTCTAAGAGACATCTGAGTTGGTTTTGAAAGTGGAAAAGAAGTGTTCAGGCAGCCAGAGGTCAGGGCCTTACGCTGAGGAAAGCAGGTACAGTATTGCCCAACATAGGGACTGACTGCAAGTTTACTTGGAAGTAGTAGTGCTGAGGTCATGGCCACTTAATAAAGGAAAGAGTAGAGAATGACTTGGTATTTAGCTCAGTACTATAGACATAGGTCTAATTTTCCTGAATCAGTTAGTTAATTGGGCAGTATTTATTGGCCATGTATAATGTGCTCAGGGTTATATCTCAGGAATGGGCACAACAGGTAGGAGAGGGCTACACCTGGCCCCAGATCAGCTGTGAGCAGGACAGGAGCCAGGAAAGTGAGATGAGCTGCAAGTGCAGACAGAGGCATTAGGTGATGTAGGGAGCTGGGTGTCCAGTGCACACCGAGTCCTGGTTCCAGGCCAGATCAATGGGTGCAGGGTGAGAGAGGGGCAGTGTTTAAGGCCTTGAAGGGAATAGTGATTGTGTCTAGAGTCTAGACTGTTGAGAGGCAGTGATAGGAAATGAGGGGAGCTGAGAAGAAATTAAGGAGCCCTGGTATCACAGTGGTTAAGCGCTCGGCTGCTAACTGAAAGGTCTGTGGTTCGAATGTATCAGATGCTCTGTGGGAGAAACATGTAGCAGTCTGCTTCTGTAAAAATTTGCACTCTTGGAAACCGTATGGGGCAGTTCTACTCTGTCCTCTAGGGTTGCAATGGGTCAGAATTGACTCGACAGCAACAGGTTTAACAGGAGAAGAAATTGCGAAGGGGCTTGAGGGCCAAAATGAGGAGTATAGACTTAATCGCATAGGCTCTTGGGCGTCACTAAAGAATTTTAGCAAGTGGGTGACACAACCAGGTTTCCTGTAAAAGGAGTGACTCGGTTGCAAGTATGGAGGATGGATTTATGGATGGCAAGGGCTGGAGGCAGGAAGACTACAGTCCAGACAAGAGTTGATGAGGCCCAGGCAGGGAGAGAAGAAGAATTGGTTTTAGGGAATACTACCTGTTGTCCGTTGCCGAGTCGATTCTGACTCATGGTGACCCCATGTATTACAGAGCAGAACTGCGCCATAGGGTTTTCTTGGCTGTAATCTTTACAGAAGCAGATCGCTAGGCCTTTCTTCCTCAGTGCCACTGGGTGGGTTTGAACTGCCAACCTTTAGGTTAGTCTCTTAACCACTCACTGCGCCACCAGGGCTCCTTTAGGTTAGTAGTCAACCGCAAATCATCTGCGCCACCCAGGGACCTTAGGGGATACTAAGGAGGTAGAACTGGCTGTGGAGGCAAAAGGAGAGAAGAGTTGGCCTTTATTCTGGCTTTTCCTGCTTGGGTAACTGGCAATGGTGGTGACATTCCAGGACACGAGGAATGTAGGTTTGCGGTACTGACCATTTCAGTCTGTAGTGCCTATGGGCCATCCTGAAGGTTATAAACAGTTGGTAGTTGGATATGCGGGTTTCGAAGTGAGAAGAATGATCTGAGCTAGAGATGGGTATTTGAGAGTTATTCACAGCTAATTTTCCTAAATATTAAAATAATTATAGAATAAAATACCCAGACTAAGGAATCATAACACTATGATCATTTTTTTGGTATGAGTTCCAAATAAGAAAACAGTTAAGCCAGAAAATGTAATTGTTCCTATTCCTAGAATTGGGTAACTGATGTATCTTTGCAGATTGTTCATTGAACTGTGCCTATGGCTTCTTGCCAGTCCTCAATGAGATTTTTATATTTCTTAATTATTCAATTACTACTCATAAGTAGGAGTTTGAAATCAAATCCAGACTGCTCCATAATAGAGTATTCTCTTGAATCAGGAGTACAGTAAAGGAAGTTCTCCATATTGGGAAACAAGGAGAATAGAATGGAGGAAGTAAATTAAGTTTCCAGTTCTGACTCTGCTGCTGGGCTTAAGATCTGGCTTTGCCATGCGCTAGCTGTGTGACTTTGAGAAAGTCACTTTACTTCTCTGAGGTCAGTTTTCAGGTCTGTAAAATAAAAGTATTGAATGGACCCAGGGGCAGGTTATCCAATAGGCCAGATAAGCATGGTGCTTACCTTGCTTACCAGATCATCAGTAGTCAACAATTTCACATTTTTTCACCACATCAAAGATTCTGCTTCTCTAGGTATGGCTGACATCAGTCTCTCTCCCAACCCCACAACACCCTTCTACAGAATCAAAGCTGCTTTTCAAATTTACAATCCCTGGCAGGGACGCATTACTTGTGCTTACGTACTAATTTATAGTGACCAATTTCACCACATGAAACCCATGTGAAATTGGTCACTACAAATTAGTAAGTAAGCACAAGTAAGCCCGTGCTTACCTTACTTACTGGGTAATCCACCCCTGCTGGACCCAATCCCAGGGCTGTAGTAAATCTGAAGTAACAAGACCATGCAAGGAAAAGCACTGTGTATGTGGGAAAGCACTCTCCACAGTTTGGTTATATCATTTTGTTTTTTTCCCCTGTGTGCTTCAGGTCTCAGCAGTTTGAAAAACCACTAGCTGGAAAGGCAGATACTTCAGACAGTGACATGGCCACTGCCCCAGATGGCAGCACCAATTCTGAAGCCCACCTGCCCTCCATTTGCCTCAAGCAAGTGTTCCCCAAATACGCAAAGCATTTCAACTACCTGCGCCTGGTGGACAGGTTGGCAAATTTGTTTATCCGGTTCCTGGGAATCAAGGGGACAATGAAGTTGGGACCAACAGGCTTTCGTACCTTCATAAGGTCAGTGAGTCAAGCTCCCTCTGGCTTTAGCTTTGGGCAGGGTGGAGTCTTGTTCCACATCTAGCTGATAGGATCACTCTGATTGCTCTTGGGAGAATCTGGCTGCTGGGTCAGTGCCTTGTTTGAGACTAGATTCGCCCACTGGTTGGCACTGGACCTGGCACATTATTGAGTGAATTAATGAATGTTATGGACGTGACAAGGAATTCCTGGGTGGTACAAACGGTTAAGCATCGGCCACTAGCCGAAAGGTTGGCTGTTTGAACCCACCAAGAGGCACCTCAAAAGACAATACTAGAGATCTGCTTCGGAAAGGTTGCAGCCTTGAAAACCCTATGGAGGAGTTCTACTCTGCACATGTGGATCACCATGAGTCATATAACAGCAACAACAGATATGACAGTGTTTATAACTTTATGTCTGTGGTTAGAAGAACATTTGTATGCTATCTTGAGTTAGGTCCTTAAAACACATATACATAATTGCCCCATGGAGTCAGGCAAACTTTATGCTTTTAAGCTGGGGAACATGTTCTCCCAGTGGTACATGGCTGTGTGCTGAGGGTTCATGGAGCCACAGTAGGAAAACAAGGCACATCTTTCCAAAGTGTCAATTTCAGCAGGGAAAAGTTAAATAATTCAGCAGATAAATAATTTAAGACATTTGTTCTAATATAAAAATAACATGGTTATATTATGGAGTATAATACAAAATTTGCATGAATTTTAAAGATAGAACATGAGATAACAAAGAAATTGTGTTTTTGCTGCAGCCTACAAAGTAAGCCACTGTCACTTGATCTTCTGAGATTACTCATTAACTTGTCTCTACCCTCTGTGGCATTTCTGGGGCAATACAGGAGCGCTTACTAACTGTGTAGCCCTTGGGCAAGTTAATTACCATCTCTGAACCTCAATGACTTCATCCTGTAAAATAGGGATGAGGCCGCCTATACACTAGATAAGGAGCCCTGGTGGTGCAGTAGTTAAGCACTCAGCGGTTAGCGGTTCAAACCCACCCAGCCACTCCGCGGGAGAAAGACCTGGCAATTTGCTCCCATAAAGATCACAGCCTAGGAAACCTTATGGGGCAGCTCTACTCTGTCACATGAGATCACTGTGAGTCTAAGCTGATTTGATGGCACCTAACAACAACGACAACATACCCTAGATTGTGTGTGTGAGTAAGGTTAACTGAGATTGCATGGAAACATCTGACACCTTCTTCCAGGAAATAATATATCTATAAAGGGTCCTGCATAGGGTCGGGTACAAAGTAGGTTTCTGTAAATATGTGCCAAGCAAATGACTCTAAATCCCTAGAACAAACGGGTGTTGGCTGGATCAGGGAATAATTGGTGCGCAGTTAGTTAATTGTAGCGTATACACTTCAAAGGGAGTATCTGCCAGCACTTGATGTTGCTGTTGTTTTTTTCATCACGGGTTTTAATATTTCTGCCTTCCTCCTCAAAGTCACACTCTTCACAGTTTTATTCACCAAAGTAAATAATTAGAAATCTCAAATTGGAAACCATTTTGTCATATACTTTTCTCCAAATTAGTTTTATAAGTTCTAACTCTAAACCAAAATAACAAAACCCATTGCCTTCAAGTCTATTCGGTCCTGACAGGATGGTAAACAAAAATATCAACAGGAATTTCAACCATTTTAGTAAACCTGAGGTAGTGTTTACACAATGCTTTGGGGAAGGGCTTTGTGCTCGATTTAGGGAAAAAGGAAAACCCAGTGGAAAGAGCACAGCTTTGGGTACAGACAGGCTGGTTTCAGCACCAAGCGTAATATTTTAACAGTTTGTGGCTTTGGGCAAATTCATTATCTTCTGAGTCTCAGTTTCCTTATCTGTAAAATGAGAATAATCTCTCCTGCCTTGTAGGGTTGCTATGAGGCTAGGATGTAATATATACATAAAGCACCTGGCCCAGTGCCTAGTTCATAGGAGCCACGTGTTAAATGGGAGTCTTGTGGTTATTATTTCCATTAGAGGTGAGAAGGCAGTGGGAATTTTCAAGGAAGTAAATGGACACATATTATATTTTGTCCTGAGAATATACCTAATATTGACACCCTCTGACTCATTTGGGAACTGCATTTGACTTGTAGTAATAGACACTCATCTCTAAGTGGCTTAAATAGTGAGGTTCATTTTCTCTCATGTAACAGGAGGTTTGGCACTCGGGGCTCTAGAGCTAATTGATAACTTCACAGTGTGATCAAGAACCCCACTTTCAATCTTTCTCCTCATCCAACCTTAGGAAGTGCTTCCAGCCAGAGTTGCCTTATGGTAATAAGATGGCTGCCAGAAATCCAATCATCATGGTTGAGTTCCACACAAGAAAAAGAAAGAAGAAAGAAAGAGCAAAAGGCCCCTGCTACATGCCTTAAATTCCTTTAAAAAGTTTTCCTGGATGCTGTAGCCAATGATTTCCACTTCCATCTTATTGGCCACCTCCATCTGCATGGGAAGCTAGGAAATAGACTTTTTCTTACTGCATGTTCCTATCCCAATATAGTGAAGAAGAGGAGGAGAATGGATATTGGGTAGGCAGTCTCTGCCCCTTTGTGATTCTTGGGCCTTGGAACATAGGGAAACAGCCTAGTGACAGGGGCGCCTGGGCATGAGGGCAATTGGAAATGTGAGGGGACCCAGTAGAGAAAATTGGAGTGCTTCTCTCAGCACATGTTTAGGGTCCCAGACCATCTAGAGAAAAATCAGGAGCTTTCTGAGTTCACCCCAGCATCTGCACCATTGCACAGAGAAATCAGTTGGAGACCAGAGAGAATGAAGGGGTGGCTTGGCTTTGTGTGGACAACATCTTTGGGTGCTGCAGGAACCATGACCCTGTGAGATTTGCTGTGCTCTGTCTCAACCTTGTGTTGTAAGGAAAATGTCTGCTTCAGCCTATCAGTTCTTCCTGAGCACCTACTCTGTAGTAGCCACAGGACATTCAAAGGTAAATAATGGAACCGTGCCTGCCCTCAAGGAACTCTGCCTGAGAGCAGACCATGAACAAATCATTCAGTGCAATGATTCAGCATAGTCACAGTGCAGTCGCCTGAGGTTTCCCTAGTCGGGGTGTGCTCAGAGTAGGGGTTGCTTCATCTGCCTGGTAGAATCAGGGCAGGGTCCCGAGAGGAGGCAGGGCTTGGACTGGTTTAAATGGGAGTTTGCCCAGCAGCAAAGGGAGGGACACACAGTCCACGCAGGGGAAGCACCTGAGAACTAATCTTGTGCAGCCCATGTTCAGAAGTCAAGCAAGGTTTATCATCCAGGCTAAATTCATGGTGGAAACGGAAATGCTTCCTTTTCACTCCTAATAAACTTCTACCAAAACATAAGAGAGGTGGGGAGATTTGAAAAAAATAGTGCAATGCACAAATCACAATTTCAGTTGCCTACAGGGTCCCAGGCAAGTTCCGCCTTGCTGGTTAAAGGATGGGAGGTGGGGGCTGCGGCAACCTGGAGCGCACATGACCCGTCTAAAGGAAGGGCTGCTGCTGGCCTAAGTATCACTAGATCTTTGGATTTTTCAAGAGAAGCTAGAAATACTGATTTTTATGTAAAATCTCAATATATGTATATAAATATTCAAAAAATAATTTTTAAACACTGTGAGTTCAGTCAAAGCATAACTGCGAGCTCCAATATGAGAGGAAGGAGGTACGTGTTAAGAGGACTGCGATCTTTATACAGAGTCTTGAAGAGAAAACAGAATTGAGGATGGTTCTAGCAAAGAAAAACCCTAAAATGCAGTCCAACTGAAACTGAGTGATATCAGAAATATAGCTACAAATCTGTCTATATGTGATAGGCTTTATGATTTTCCATTCCTTTGTTCTCTATAATTAAGGGCATTTGCATGAAAAACCGATCTGAGGATGTTAGAGACTATTAGGTCCTGCAGCCATCATCCCCAATCTGTGGCCGAGTACCGTTTGTGGGAGCAAGCATGAATCTGAGACTGGAGAACGATGTCTCCAGGTGGGAACAGGCAAGCAGAGCAGACGAACTCAGACAATGAGCCTGCCTCCCGCCCTTCCCACCCACCCAACAAATGTCTTTAGTAATTAAGGATGCGGGAAGAAATGGAGAAAATATTGCACAGCCGTTATAGGTTTTTCCTTTTAAAATGTACTGAGAGATCCCAACAGCAACTTAATCATAAAATGTTATATTCTCTGCTTTTAGATTTATGAGTATGTTCAGTCTTGCTGGCTAAATTTAACAGCCAGCACTTTCTCTTGCTAACAACGATCCTCCCTCTCCTTTCCACTTTGGTTTAAATTTTGCTTCATTATGAATTAATAATATTTACGCCATATGTTAAATCAAACTGAGTGCCCTTCTCTGGAGCATTGCACAAGAGACATATTCGCTGGCTAGATAGACACTCCTTTCAGAGCTCCCACACACACAGCAGAAGTTGAACTTGACTTTCATCTGTACTACCCACTCTTTCTCTCCGAGTTCCTTGTAGAGAACTGGAAGGAAGAAAATAATAAACATTCCAATTGCATTTATTTTCAGTGTCCATATCTCATAATGTGCTGCATAGATCAGCAGTTTTAGTAGTGAATTATGCTAATGCCAGTCTGGCCATATTCTATTTTCCTTTTCCACCAAGAAGTGAGAAATAATGAACTGTCATTCTCTTGTCTAGACTTAACTCTCTATCTAACCAGCTTTTTGTGTCAATTCCTCAGGAGGCACATAAGAGTAGCACATAGTACCATGAATTAAGTGCCTCTTTTTTCTTCCTGCCTTCCTTTTTTTCTTTTTTTTCTTAATAATTGCTGGGGTGTGGAGGTTTCTTTTCCCTGAGACATAGAAATTATCTGATTGGTTCTTTAGCTGGACAGCTTTCTTTGAGGGAAATGCATTTTTGTTATTTTTCTTCCATTGGATTATTAATTTGGGGTATCCAATGTAATTCACTAAGGACAATTTTTCCAAATGTATTCTACAGCAGAATTTGACATCG